AGTAAGTAAACATGATTGTTTTGAAATTATCATAAAATAATTGATGTGATTATCTTACTCCAGTGCACTGAGGGGCTACGGCTGTGTACTAGAGTCATGTATTTAACTCTTATCCATTGAGGGGCTACAATCGTGGCTAAAGGTATCTAATATACACTGAGGGGCTACAGCCGTGTGTAAGAGTAACTCTTATCCACTGAAAGGCTACGACCGTGGGTAAAGGTATCCATTATACACTGAGGGGCTACAGTCGTGTATAAGGATGATTGTATTGTTTCCATTTTGTACACTGAGGGGCTACGGCCGTGTACAAAATATTGATCAGACGATTTATGTACATATGATTTATAGTTTTCAGATCATTAGTATATGTTTACATGGGTTATATTTTGATGTGAATTTTAATTATATAGTGGATTATTAGTCTTCAGCTTACATTTCCCCATTTACAGTTCAGCTTGTGGATTTTAGATTATGGTTTTTGATTATTGAATTGTCTAATGTACTTACTCATCTGGTTGCGTGTATATATATACACATAAAGGACAGTACAACCATCTTTTAAGCACTTCACTCGTTGGGATTATTATCTCGTATTTTTCTTAACTTTTCCTTATAGGAGGCTGTTGACTGAGCTGTGGTGGAGATTATTTTGATAGTTTTGCAGCCATGGCTGCCACCAATTGTAGGTTCTTTTGTTTGAAATTGTGTAATCATCAAGTGAAATATTTGCATCTTATTGGAGGAATTTTTTTTGGGTATTTATATGTAGCAATGATCATGATGTAATATTGTAATCTAAATTGCTTTCTATTATCCTTTTGAGAGGCAGTTTTGATGAAAATGATATAGATGTTTTTGGCTAAACGAGCGGATGATGATATTATGTTTGTATATTGGAGTTCAGAAATATTTTAATTGGTCAAATGAAACTTTATTATTAAAGTTTAGTTACTTTTGCCTTGGCGATGGGTCCAGTACCTAGCTGGCACTTATCATCGGCTCACATCACATCTTGAGTCTTAGGACGGGATGTGTCAAGAACATCATACTCTTCAAACATAGCTCGACTCCACTTATGATCTTTTAGAGCTTCGGTTACTGTGGTTGGTTCAAGGTCATTGTAGGTGGATAGTTGGGTAAGAAGGTTCATTTTTATTAAAAGTTTATGAACGTTATTCTTAGATCTAGTGTTCATTCTATGAATATGTTGTGGGAGGGTTAGGAATGGAGTTAGTAATTGGTAAAGGTTGCGAAAAACTGGTGGCAGATAAAGGTCCACATGAGGATAGTTCAGGTAAGGTTATAGTTGATGGAACTTCACTGGGGGCCGTAGGATGAACTTCTGCTGTACATGGTGTAATGATTGATGAAACCAAGGAAGTTGTAGAAAATCGAAATGGGGATGGAATCCAGGTGGAGATGGTGTCTAGTTGAGGATGAGGCGATTGATTAGAGAGATGAGTGAAGAGAAACACAGACTCAAAAAACTTAACATATGGAGATACATATATTTTGGAAGTTGAGGGATCAAGATAATAATATGAACTTCGAGTCAAAAAATATCCAAGGAAGACACATGGTTTGGAACGTGAATCAAGTTTGTGGAAGGAGTAGGGTTGAAACTAAGGATAACATAGACACCCAGAAATTATTAGTTTGGAGTAATTAGGAATATTTCCAAATATCGTCATAGAGAGAAGATAGATGTAATGTAGGTGTTGGCGTGTGATTTATTAGGTATACCGCTGTAGAAAATGCATGTGACCAGTAAACTAGAGGAAGAGAGGCGTGAGATAGGAATGCAAGACCGTTTTGCTGATAAGTGTGTTGTGATTGTCATTGATATTATGAATGGTGGTCGGGGCACAGGAATTGCTATTGCGAGTTTCATTAATATTTTGAGTTTCTGTGGCTGAACGATTAGCCATAATTCAAGCTGGAGAAGGAGGAAGAGAATATTAGTTGGCTGGAGGGGAATGGCTACCAAAAAGCTCTGATACCATGAAAGAATTTATCGAGCTATTGAATTGGAAAAATATATTTCATGTTTCTCATTGATTAGCGATCATATAAATACACCAATGAAGTAACAGAAGGTTGGAGTTCCTAAACACAAGGGCTATTACAAACAAATTTTATCTCTGTGATTTACAGATAAGAATCATCTATGATTTTCAATTTGTGAAATCTGAAGATAACAATCCTCTAGTACAAGAAACGATAGAAAAGTGCCAGAATACAAATGATAAGGAATAATTGTTTTAAGATTAGTTAGGTCATAGTTATCGTGTTATTTTTTATTTAATTTATATTAAATTGTTTTTTGTAGTTAAATATAAAATTTATAAAAATAGTAGATAAATTTTACACAACGTTTTCTCTATTGTTCTATGTCCATTTTTCAGAAATAACATCCCATATCTCATTTCGTTTTCAATTTTTCAGTCCCTGCTTGTTTCCAATTTTTTTTGGCCTTGTTTTAATAGCTTTTCGGATCGTTGCAAACGTAACAGCCGATTTTTTTGACTTTCTATCTCACGATGGGACCCATGTACTAGAAAAAAGGGTCAAAATGCATTATTATATTTATAAATGATGGGAAACAGAAGGAGGCTTAGATATGCTGGTGAGTCGTAATGGAAGAAAAAATGCATTGAAAGAGCGTGAGAGACTTGATGAAAGTGTTTGTGGGTGAGAGAAAAATAGAAGAGTGGGTGAAGTAGGATCACTGTCAAAATCAAATGAAGTTAAAATGTATTTTTATTTATTGGATAATGTGATAGTGACTTTACAGCAACATATATTATTAAGCATTTTGTGCTAAATAACAAATAAATTTGGAAAAAGCAACCGAAGATGTAGATTGGATTTTTTTGTGACTACAATAGTTAATTAGTCCTGGTAAAAATGTAAAACGGGTCAAAAAATGGTACAGATTGGTCTTAGCCAAACACTTTAAGCAAGTGTATGTTGAGAGGGGGAGAGGAACCTCATTATATATATAATGAAAAATATATTTTGAAAAGTGTTGAAAATAATTTTGAATAAGTGATTTTAAAGAAATCATTGACAAACATGAAATATCATGCAACTATAATCATTCTATTTTTATGCCTTTATTTTTTAATAAAACCATTACTTCACAGCCAACGGCAGCGGTAATATAGGGGACAGGCAGATATCTCTCACGTTCACTTCTCTCTCTTGCCATAAATAAAAAGGAATTAATGAGAATATTTACTTCACTATAACAGGAATAATATTAAATTTCTAACTCCAAATTTTGTTCAATCGGCATCATATATAATTATGAATGTTTTAATTTTAGAGTTTTTATGTCTTAAAATAGATATGGCCTAAAACGCATTTTAATATCTTAATTTTCTTTGATTAATTCTATGAGGAAAAAAAACTTTTTTATGTGTGTCGTATAATATTTTATTCTTTATACGTATTTAGATATTTTTAAAAGATAAAAATAAATATTAAGTGGAAAGTCGTGTCTTAATGGCATAGGTATTTAATTGAGATAGGTTGGGTTTCTTTGAACATACACAAACAAATTTGTTCATTTATATTTTTATTTTAAGATATACTTTTCCAGCAAAATATCAACATTTAAAAGTTAATGGTTTCAAAACATTCTTCTAATTTGATATTTGTTGAACTATCTCATAAAAAATATTAAAATAATATAAAATAGATAAATATATTTATATTTATCAGTGGAATAATATTATTTGCAATCGTTCACTATCAAAGTCACCCTACGTGGCATCCATGTAACGGTTAGTGATTTGATGCATAAGGCAATAAAAAACTACAACATTAATACATTATATTATTAACCGCCACATGTATGTCACGTAGAGCGACTATGACAGTGAACGATACAAATAGCATTACTCTTATCAGTGTTATAGATTGAACCAATTTGCAATAACCTGGTGATTGAACTTATACCACTTGTTATGAATATTAAAGATAATAAATATAAACAAGATAAAAATAATGAATCACACGAGAATACAAGATTTAGTAGTAATTCAAATTCAAAAAAGCCACGTGCAGAGATGGGAAATTTACATGATTAATAGCAAAGAAGTATAAAAGGATCTCGCTAGACCCAACCTATCTCAAAATATACGAGTCTCTTTTTCTATAACTTAGATCATCGTACTTTAATATTCTCTTAATGCTATTCAATGTTTTGCTTTCATAGCTAAAGACTATATCACATAGAGTATATATAGGAACTCATTACAAGTATTTTGGATAAAGTAGAATACAAGAATCATGGTAGAAATTGAATTATGTCGAACATGTGGCATTTAGCTCCTACCTCCAAATTGTCGCCCATGTGCCTAGTCTCTATCTCAAGCACTTCAAATAGGAATTTGGGTCATACTCCGACAATCAGTATTTTTTTTTTTATATTCAAGATTGCAACCAACTTGCTCCTTGAAGATGTTGATTTTTCTTTTGAAACTATATATATACTAAAATCGACTTATATATTATAGTGCAGATCAATTATACTCTTAATTAAATTTTTATAAACAAGTAGTGCATACACTAGCTCACTGAAACTCCTTGAATATATTAAAATACAAGAATACATAACAACTTAAAGTTATTGTAGAAACAATCTAGTGCTAGGTAGCACATTTGAAAGTCACAATCACGAAGCAATGAACTCAAGTCAATGTAAGCTATTGAAATGTAAACCTAATGGTATTTCGTGAATCATATAGGTAACGCTTAAAAAGAAACTCAATTACGACATGACAATTGACATGTGTTAAAATTTAAAAAAAGAACCATGCTACAGTATAATTATGGTTGACAATCATGAGTTGGCAAAATCTATACATCCACTTTAAAAACTGTTTTTTAAATCAACCAACCAGATCTTGACAACATATGAATTGTCAAAAAAGATGTCAATAATCATTGTGCAAATAACATTATTCTAAAAATTATCTGTCTCAGATGGCCTAGTCATCCGTGTACTTGACTCCTGTGGAAGGCAACCATGTACCTCCTGAAATGAATTGAGCCACCGTAAACTGCTTCACTTGGGCCGAATCATTAATTATATGGTAACCGTGCCATTTCACTCGGCCTCCCAAGTCTGCCCCCGGTCCATAGTTCCTGTATTCTGCAAAGAATAGAGTATCAAGGTACATACTTCCATTCCATTCGAGCCATCCCTCAGGCCTAATGGCATCGCTAAGATACGATTCCATAATAATCGTACGTGAAAATTTTTTCCAAGGACGACCAAGGTAAGTTGGATTTGTGACGTTTGGTTCTGCTGAAATGTAACAATATTGGATGGAAAAGCCGGAAGAATCCGGATTCGCACGCCCATGTGCTGTGATGGCGTTCTGTTGACTCGGAATGCCTTCCCGAGCTATAATTTGGCACTTTTGGAAGATAGATGTGCCACTACCAAAAATAAAATCAACTGTGCCAGTAATTTGGCATTCTCTGTAGAACTGACGCAAAGAGTGTGAAAATAAAGTATCTTGGTATCCCCTTATGGCACAGCGGTATAGAACTGAACATTCAGAATTAGAAAGGAATGCAACTGCTTGGGACTTAAGAGGACCTGCCGTATTCTCAAATGTCATGTCCCGTGCGATGAAACCTTGCCCAGAAACACCTGCATTTTGTCATGTCAAGAAATTAAAACAGTAAATTATATCTCAGTTTAAGATTATTTTGTCAATTAACGGTTATTCTTACCAAAAGTTGCACTACTGTACGTGGTCCAACCGTCCGCGTAGTTCCTATTACCAGAAATAACTGTAACATCCATGCCATCTCCGATCATCATTATGTTCGGTTTATTAGTACTAACGTTGACATACTCTTCGTATACACCTCGTTTTACGTATATCACATGTCTTCGTGTACTGTAGTCCGGGACTGCAGAGATAGCATCCATGATACGAGTGAAATTCCCGGTGCCATCGGCAGCCACCACCATGTCTGCCACAGCGCCGTTGGTGGCTTGAAGGAGTTTCCGATCATTGGATTTCAACCAATGTGGGAACTTTTTCTTGTTTCTAACCTTCTTGTGATTAGAACTGCCTCCACCACCTCCAGCGCCGTGAGAAAGACCGCCTTTGAACACTGGATTCGGGGATGTTGGTATCATGGAAAGAATATCTTCGATCAATTTTGTTATTTGGTCGAGGCAATTGGCAACTAAATTCTTGATAGTGCTGTTTGTGTCATCAAAGCCTTCTACGCAAGTGTCTAGATTTATCAATACTCCAGTTAACCATGCCCTCATGTCAGCAATTAGATTCTCAGGGCTGTTATTTTCTTTACCTGCAAGGGAAAAAATTTAGCAGAAGAAAATATTCAGTCCGTAAAAATTTCATGACGATTTTGTAAAAGAAAATGTTATAAAAATACATAGAATATTTTAATGTAGTGATTTCATAACGTTAGCGTTCTCATGACCAATGACAGCATTAGCCATTTAAGGATTATAAAAGGGTCTCTCATGTTGCATTTTTAACAGCTAAAATTTTGCACGACTGTACCAAGTTCTAGAATATAGAAATTGAAATCTTCAAAGTCTTTAACAAAAATAAATTTACCAAAAGCAGCACATAATATTCTCATGGAAAATGCAGTAAATATACCATCTCTATTCTGAGAAGCCGACAGAGTCCAGTTCAATTCATCTAATGAAAGCTCCAATAGATTGATGCAGTCACAAATGGCATTAGAGAGTCGAAAATCGATGAATTTGCCTCTGAAATTCGACACAGTCGAGATTACTTGCCGGACAGTGTCCGTAGTAGACCTCACAGAACCTAAAAATTCCAACACTGGAACATTCAACGTTTCCAAGTGATCACCACTAACTATCAAGGGTGACAACAAACAAAACATGACCAAAAATAAAGTTTGCAATGAAGCAGCCATTAATCTAGACTTTTTAAGTTAAGGATGTTATAAGATTTTGAAGTCTTGGAAAAATTTTTAACTTCAAGCATGCATAAAAAGAAATGGGGACTGTAAATTAAAGTGTTTATAGAGAAATAATAAAAAGGAAGAAGTAGTAATAAATAGGAAGAAAGAAAATTGTAGTAGAAAAGGAATCCTGTATGTTCTTCATTGATATAGTGTATATTTATACAAATTTGTACAAGTCTGTAAATGAAGAAAAACATTACAAACTATATAAATATGGAATTTACAGTAAATTTGCCTAAACTGACTGAGGACGATGGGATGCTTCCCTTTGGTAATGTTATTTTAATTATTGAGAAATGAAGTTATGATCTCTTTGCCTCAATTTAATGTCAAGAATTCCAATAAATTTTATATTGCTTATATCTGGAGCATGGACACAAGATCCCAAGAACACATTTAGAATTGTTGACGAACTATAGAACCCGTCTTATAAAAAGTAAGTATTATAATTGGAGGCAATTTTTAATTTGTTGAAAGATTTGAAATTTGTCATCTACATTGACAGGATCGTAAATCCTTTGCAAATTTTACTATACCATTTTTAATTTAGTTGTCGTGAAAAGAGTTGAATGCCTAAATAATATTTATATAATTATATTGCCTTCATTAATTTTGTTGCTTAGTGCTAGTAAACATGATTATGTTCCTTCTATACCATCGTACATAGATATTGCTAGTATATATTCTGTCAATGTAGGCCAGTTTAAAAATAGGTTTACATTAGTGAAATGATAAGGAGAAACTGTCTTTGGTTTTTCATTTTTTTCGTACAATAATTCAGACAAAGACACACCGTTCGTTTTGCCATAGCATAACCCGTACAACATTATTATGATTAATAACTTTGATTTGTAAGGGAAAATTTCATAAGTAAGAGATTAATTATAGCACAATTCAAAAATAATAAAACAAGTTTCAATTTTCAATTTTCAAAAATCAGATTTTTATTAAAAAATATTTATATTTAATTAATTAATTTAGTAATTACATATATTTAAGTCACATATTTATAAAATAATTGATCCAATGAGGTTGAAATTAAAAGACTTTATCAACGTTTTGAAATTTTTTAGATTAAAAGTTGTATTTGAAGTTCAAAGTTTCCTTAAAGCGACTGAAGTGCATTAGAATGAGAAAATTAAGATTTTTTTTATTTTTTATTTTTTATTTTTTTATTTGAAGATTCTGAAGATCTAAACCATAAACGTATTCTAAACATTCTGAAAATTTTAAATTTACAAAATATCTCAAACACTGAAAACTTTTGCATTTCTTTAGTAGAAGTTGCAAACTTTTCACTAGTTATCATTTCAATTATCGATTTTGCACTTGGAACAAAATAGTTTTTTTTTTCCTTTCAGCTCATTATTAAATCTACCTTTCCATTGTTTCGACCTTGGAACAAAACAAACTATCTCAAAAAAAGTTTCATCTCAAATTTCCAAGCCAGCCGTGTACCCGATTCCTGTGGAAGGCAACCATGTATTTCCTGCAATGAATTCATCCACTGTAAACTGCTTCACTTGGTCCGAGCCATTAAGTATATGGTAACCGGGCCATTTCACTCGGCCTCCCAATTCTCCCCCGGGTCCATAGTTCCTGTATTCTGCATAGAATAGAGTATCTAGGTACAAACTTCCATTCCATTCAAGCCATCCCTCAGGCCTAATGGCACTGCTAATGTTCGATCTCATAATAACCGTACGCGAAAAGTTTTTCCATGGACGACCTAGATATGTTGGGATGGTGACGTCCGATTCTGCTGAAATGTCACAATATTGTATGGAAAAGCCGGAAGAATCAGTCGAAAGCTCACGCCCATGTGCTGTGATGGTGTTCTTTTGATTCGGAAGCCCTTCTCGGGCTAGAATTTGGCAATTTTGGAAGACAGCAGTACCACGGCCAAAAATAAAATCAACTGTGCCAGTAATTCGGCATTCCTTGTAGAACTGGCGCAAAGAGTGTACATACAATGTATCTTGGTATCCCCTAATGGCGCAGTGGTACACAACTGAAAATTCGGAATCAGATCGAAAAGCAACTGCTTGGTGCATAAGGGGGCCTGCCGTATTCTCAAATGTCATATTCCGTGCAAGGAATCCTCTGCCCTTAACTCCTGCAATTTTGTCATTTGAAGAAATTAACATGAAATTACTTAGCAAACTGTGGGAAATCTTCTGGTTAGTTGTGCTACATATGAGCTCAATTTTTTCAACACTACTCCCACGAAATACATAAACAATAATGAGTTTTTGGAGGAAAAAAAAAATGAGATCAACAATAATCCGTATTCATATAATTAGATCAACATGTCAAAAACACAGGAAAAATTGGGCTTTGGATGAAGAATGCCGAACTTCATACAGTGGAAGTAGTATATAATTGCACGGAATGATATATCAATCAACCATTGAATTTTGACATGATGGTTGACCAATATTCACAATGGGGTGTGGCCCACTTTTTTATTTACGCGAGATCCACGCGTATGTGAGAAGATGTCAACCATTCCGTCAAAAATTTTCGAGCAAAGTAGTTTAATTCTATATCAATTAAGTCCCTATTTGATGCCCATTGAAAAGAGTTTTTGGAAAAAATGAGTTTTGGAATAGTTTTTCCCCCTTTTTTTTTTTTTTTTTAGTGGGAGAATGTGAGGTTCAAAAGTAAGAAAAAATTTGGGTTTAAATAGAAAATATTTTATTGTTAAAATATATGGTTGAAAATGAGTTTTAGAAAAAAGAATTTTTGGAGAATGGTTGCCAAATCGGGACTAAATAAAAATATATATAAAATAAAAAAAGGATTATTTTTTCAATTAAAGACCATTCTTACCAAAAGTTGCACTACCGTACGAGGTCCAGCCACCCACATAGCTCCTATTACCGGAAACAATCGTAACATCCATGCCATCTCCAATCATCATTATATTCCACTTCTTCTTGCCGATCTCTACATACTCTTCATAAATACCGCGTTTTACGTATATCACATATCGTCGTGTACTGCAATCTGGGGCTGTAGAGACAGCATCCATGATCCTAGTAAAATTCCCCGTGCCATCAGCCGCCACCACCGCATCTACTATCGTGTAGTTGCCACCTTCGAGGAGTTTCCCATCATAGGATTTCAGCCAATCTGGAAATTTGTCGTTTCTCCTAACGTTCCTGCCACCAGAACCGCCTCCACTACCATCAGCAGTGCCGTCTGGGGTTGTTCGTACCATGGAAAGAATGTCGTCGACAGATGATGTGATTTTGTTTAGTCCGTTGCCAGCAAAACTCTCGACAGTGCTATTTGTACCATCAAAACCTTCTTGGCAAGTGTTTTGATTTATCAATACTCCGCTCAACCATGCCCTCATGTCAGCAAGTAAATTTTCAGAGCTATTATTTTTACCTACGTAAAGAATAAAAATATTAGTTGATCCCTACAAAATTTCAGGACAATTTTGTAAAAAAATTGTGATATAATCCTATTTATCTGCTAAAAGAATGCAGAAAATGTACCATCTGATTCCTGAGAAGCCAACATAGTCCAATTTAATTCATCAACTGAAAGGTCCAATAGATCCTGACAGTCTGAAAGAGCATTAGAGAGTCGAAATCCATCCAATTTGTCTGTGAAATTCGACAACGTGGAGATCACCTGATGAACAGTGTCCATAGTAGACCTCACAGAATAAGAAAAATGCGAAACGGGAACGTTCAACAATTCTGACTGATCGACAAAATCCAAGTCACTAGTAACCAATGGAGCCAACAAACAAAACATGACCAAAAACAAAGTTTTCAACAAAGAATCCATTAATTTACTTTGACTGACTTTAAACAGATACAAAGAGGGGATTAAGGATGTTAAACTGATAATTAATTTCTTGGAGAATTTTTTCAGTGAAGTATAAATACAGTGGGGGTATTAAAAGATGAAAAGAAAGCGGGACTAAATTACAGTGTTGTGAGTGAGAGAATGAAGAAATGCTAATAAATAGGGGTGAAAGCAATGCAAGTTTGGAAGATAACGTTCTATGTAAACATAATTAATAGCTTTGTACATCTCATAAAATTATAAACATAAATAAAGTCAACACGTTTTTTAATATGTAAAACTGTTCCTAAAGACATTCTCCAAAATGTTAGATTTTGAAATGCATCCACCATTTTAAACAATCATGCTACTCAAATAGGAAAATTTAACAAGAAATGATGACACACAATAATTAATAGCTCTTTACATCTTATATAAAT